CAGAACTAGGTGATCTGGCCCCAAATTACCTGACCATGTTGCAGGCTTTAGCTAAAGTGCAACAACGGATTTGGCCCTTAATTCAAGCATACCACGCTGTTAAGAGGGACCCGGCTCCGGAACATGGCATAGTCCCGGGTGACATGGTATGGGTTAAAAGGCATCAGTCCAAAACCCTAGAGCCTAGATGGAAAGGACCTTATGTTGTACTGTTTACTACCCCTACCGCCCTCAAGGTCGACGGGATTGCAGCATGGGTACACCATTCCCATGTAAGACGGGCTCACCCTCCGGAGAAAAAACAGGAAAATTGGTCCGCACGGAAGCATCCAACAAACCCACTCAAGCTCCGGCTGATACGGGATGCTCCGAAAAACGAAAACACTCCAGATGCTCCGCAGCCCTCCTAGAATGGGATTATCACCTGGGTCCACTACACCCACATCAGACCGGCAGATCCGGTAGCTATGAAGAAAGGCTTCCTGCCAACAAGAAGGGTGTCCCACCACAAGGAAAATTTTTTCAAACTCAAACTTCATACTGGACCTTGGTAACTTTATTCCTTTTTCTAACCCTGTCCACCACTTGCTGGGGGCATACAAATCCACATCAACCTTTTAACCTGACCTGGATGATTGTAGATGTATCCACAGGAGACATTCTTAACCAGACCTCCAAGGTGACCCCTCCCAGCACCTGGTTCCCAGAATTATACTTTGACTTAAGGGCCTTATTCACTGGCAGGGGACAATGGGATTTACGCCAAAATTACTTCTATGTCTGCCCCGCTCCCCAACCCAACCACAGAAAAAAATGTAAAAAAATCGCAGACTATTATTATAAGTCATGGGGTTGTGAGAGCTCAGGGGATATATGGTGGCCACCCCCCAAACAGGGGGACCTTATTCAATTAAGTAAAGTCTCTCAATCTGGCATTACATACCACCAACCTAGACCTATAAATAAGGGATGCCCAACTCCCCCCAATTGTAATCCCATTATGATAAATTTCACTGACTTAGAAAAAAAGGCAACGAATTGGGAATTGGGTAAATCCTGGGGAGTCAGACTCTACAAAACAAATCATCCAGGAGCCCTTTTTACTTTGCGGCGTGTGCAACAACCAGTCTCTACTCTAACAATAGGCCCTAATAAGGTACTTAGGCCACCCTATGTAAAGCCACCTCCCCGACCTTCCACAGCTCATCACCTTCCCTCAACCATAGCCCGGGCTAATGTTACAACTCCAAGACCATCAGAAACCAGCCCTCCCCTGGTGAGGCCCAGTCTCATGACCGATCTAAAGACCCCCTCTGGGAGCTAGTGGGTGCTGCCTTCCTGACGTTAAACCACACCAACCCTAACATGACTAACTCCTGTTGGTTATGTTATGATGTGAGGCCCCCATTCTATGAGGCAATAGGGCTAAACACCACTCACGATACCTCATCTGAGGAAAACCCTACTCAATGTTCCTGGGGAGACCGTAAGAGAGGTCTGACCATACAGCAGGTAAGCGGCCAAGGAACCTGCTTAGGAAAAGTGCCAAAGAACAGACGGGACTTATGTACTGTTATTAACGCCAGTTCTACCTGGGAAAATGCTATTAAATGGGTAATTCCAAAGGACAATGGGTGGTGGCTATGCTCGCGGTCTGGACTCACCCCGTGCCTATCAACTAAGGTGTTTAACAGCTCTAAAGAATTCTGTGTTATAGTGACTGTGCTGCCCCGCATCCTCTATCATTCGGAAGAGAGTCTATATTCATACTGGAATACAAAAATGGTTGAAAAAAGGAAAAAGAGAGAACCTATTTCCACAGTAACTATTGCTACCCTACTCAGCCTAGGGTTAGCGGGAGCAGGAACCGGCATAGCTTCTTTGGCCACCCAGCAGAAAGGGATGTCTTCGCTGCGTGCAGCCATAGACAAAGATATAGAGAAATAAAACCTCCATTAGCCACCTAAAAAATCCCTCACTTCCCTGTCTGAGGTAGTACTTCAAAACCGACGAGGTCTGGACTTGTTGTTCCTCCAAAAGGGGGACTATGTGTTGCTCTAGGGGAAAATGTTGTTTTTACGCTGACCATACCGGAGTTGTTCGTGACTCCATGTCTAAACTTCGAAAGAGCCTGGAACAAAAAAACGAAAAAGAGGCCGGGGAAAGCTGGTTCGAGTCTTGGTTTAACCAGTCCCCATGGTTGGCTACCCTTTTATCTGCATTGGCAGGGCCAATAATAATCATCCTATTACTTGTTACCATAGGACCCTGGATTCTAAACCGACTTATGACTTTTGTCAAAAGTCGAATTAATACTATCCAACTTCTGGTCCTCCGCCAACAATATCAGGCTCTTCATCCCCTTAAAAATGATTCCTCAATTTAGGCCGTAAGAAAAGGGGGGAATGAAAGGAATAGGAGGTCTCAGCGGGCCCCAACCCCCTTGTTGGAGAAACCAGTACCAAACACCCCATGTAGATAAGATAAGCAATGCGGCAGGGCTCAGTTAGGGCATATAGAATGTGGGGAATGTGAGCGGGGGGTACATGCAAGATGTGAAGTACGTGCAAGATGTGAGGTACGCGCAAGATGTGCTCTGCCTGCTTGCCCAATGTTGATAACAAAAATATACATGCCACCGTGGTCTATATAAGATTTCCCCTAAAGAGGCTCAGGGTCGTGTTTTCCTAACCGGTCCTGCATGTCCGTGTGGGAGCTCGACCCTGGCTAGCCAGCCCAATAAACTCTGCTTTGTTGATTGCATTCACGCCTGGCTCTCAGTCTCTCGGGGGAATAGGATTCCGGGTCCTAACAAAGGTAGGTATTATTGTCTCAATGATACAGTGGGGGAACAAGTTCAGAGATAGTAGCTTTCTAGAAGTCAGAGATTGGCAAGAAGAAGAACTGGGGTCCAAATAGAAGGATTTCAAGTCCTAATGAGCCAAAGTAGGGAGGGCCCTGATTCCTCAGTCTAGGTTTCCTGCCTAACAAAAGTTATTTCCAGGGTTGGGCATGGTGGTTACAACCTGTAATTCCAGCTACTTGAGTTGGGGGGAAATAGGAGTATCATGGTTTGAAGCTGGACTGGAGAAAAAGTTAGTGAGACCCTAATCTCAAAAAACAATCTGGGCTTCGTGCAACACATGCCTGTAATCCTGGATACTTGGGAAGCAGAGGTAGGAAGATTGCAGCCCAAGGCTGCCCTGGGCAAAAGCATGGGACCCTATGTGAAAAATGAGCTAAAAGCAAAAGAGCCAGGGGCGTGGCTCAAGTGGCAGAGCACCTACCTAGCAACCACAAAGCCCTGAGTTCAAACTGCAGCACTGCCAAAAAAAAAAAAGCTGTTTCCATCAACGACTGGATTCAGGAGCTGCTGACTTGTTCCTCAAGCTTTCTCATGCTCTCCATGTAAAATAGGTCTGACCTTGATTGGTGTGTGACCTTCCAGTGTGGCAAGTCAACAACTGGACCATTTTCATGAGCCAAGCACAGAGGACCCAATGCACATGAGCAGAATGCCCTGTTAAGTGAGAGCAAAGAACTGACAAGATGCGTGCAGAAATCCTGGGGTCACATGCAACAGCTGACTGCACCCGTGCAAGCCCACCCTGCATATGGGTAAGCTTTGCTCTCCTGTCCTCAGAGATGAATCCAGAAACCTTATCCTGTGTGCTGTCTGCATTATACCTGAACATAATCGTCAGTAATCCCTTGTTTGGACGGTATTGCTTGTCTCTCCATGAGCAAAGGAGCTCAAGGCTGAGGACTGGGGGTGTGGCTCAAGTGGTGGAGCATTTGTCTAACAAGCACAGGAGGCCCTGAGTTCAATTCCCAGTACCTCAAAAAAAAAAAAAAAGAAAGAAAGAAAGAAAAGAAGAAAAAACCCTCAAAGCTGAGCTGGCAGCACTACGAAGCCTTTTAATCTTTCTACAGAGGCTTAAAAGTAATATGTCACAGATTTGCATGTTTAGAGAGAAAGAAGTTTGTTGGTTTTGACAATGAATCTTGAGTCTCCCAATCCAACACCACCATCCAGAATCTAGCCACTCCTCATTGCCTGCTCTACCACCATCTTGCCTAGGCCTCAGCCTGTCTCTCCTGGACTCCTTGGTCCCCTGGTCCCAAGGTAGGGGTGCCCTGCCTTTTGCACAGGAGTAGCAGGAGTCCTATGAAAATGTGAACTGGTCCAGGTCCCACTCCTCTCAATTGTCACCTGACCTCCTCTCACACTCAGCACAGACCCTCCATCCTCACTGTGTGTGACCTGCATGATCTGCCCTGAGTGTTCCTCAGCCTTAGCTCCCACGCTACTCCTCACTCATAAGCTCCACCCACAGTGAACCCCTACTTATCTGGGATGCACCAAGCACCCCTCTACCTCAGAGCCACGGTGCTGTCCTCTCTGCTGGGAACCCAGTTCCCCAGATACTTGCTCAGTTCTCAACCTTGGTTCATTCTGGTCTCTGCCATGTTTCCTCCTCCAAACAGGTTTCCCTGATGGCTTTTCTAAGATGACCCTCATTATCCCCCTTCCCTGTGGTTTTTTTTTGTCATCTGTCTGCCTGGTCTTCTCAATCATTGCACCCCAGCATACAGAACACCAGGCATAGTAACTGTTCTGTTAGTGATTGGCAAATAAATGAAAAGAGGAATGAGTCAAACACTGGACAGAAACACAATCCTCACAAGCAACCCCTGGAAACTACAGACACCATTGGAGTGTGCATTTTATGCTAAAAGTGATATGCTGAAAACCACCCAGGGTTTGGACTTGGCTTGGGTTTATCAGCCAAATGTTTCTCAATTTGGAGGCTAAGGCATTGGAATGGAGTGGTTCTTCCCACAGGACGATCCCTTTTCATGCAGGGTTCTATTATTCTTGCCAACTCAATACTAGCAGAGAGTCCCAGTCTTGTGACAGCCCGAATCACCTCTCACATTTCCAGACAATCCCTAGGCATGCGTTACTGCCCTCCTCTGCCATCACGGGGAAGTCTCACCTCCATCCACACCCATGAGGAAGCGTCCCATGATGAGCATTTCTAAAGATTCTGCCTGGAGAGAAAAGGCCATCAGCAGTGCTGCAGAAATCGCAAAGCCATTGTTGACCAGCAAGGTGGACTTCCTGGAAGGAAAGAAGGGATTTGATGAGGACACCCCCACTGTGACGAGGCATGGCAATGACCTGTCCAACCCAAAAGCAGAGGCCACGACCTTCAGAAGGGTCAGCAGAGTGAGACTCAGGCACAGTGGGGAGCGCACCAGTCTAAGAATCAGCAACATGGGTCCAGCCCTCACTGACATCTTGTGGCTGTGTGACCTTGAATCAGGCATTTCTTTCCCCTGGGTTCACCATGGAGTCAATTGGGTCACTTGCGAAGGCACTGTCAACCTGTCATTTGTGAATTCCCTGTTGCAGTATTTTATTCAATCAGTTCTAAGCCTTTCAACATTTGTGACAATAAGGTGCATCTTACAATCTATAGTCAGGCTCCAGACAGGAAAATGGAAATAACTCTAGTTGTTTTAATGGAGAGAATTTAACATAGGAAATTGGATAAGTAGTATTGGAGGACTGAGATGTCAAAGGGGGTTCTTGGAAAATAGGGTGTTACCCTTGTGATGAAAGTTCCTTAGGGGCTTGGAATGGGAGCTCTGGAGAGCTAACTCAGAACTTTGGGGAGGGGTGGGTACTGCCCATGGACACTGTTTCCTCTGAGGGGCACCAAGTCTGGTTCTGGGGAGCAAACAAAAGCTGGAAGCTGGGATCAACGGCTAAGGAAACTCAGATAAACAAAAACATGAGTGAGTGTGGAGCTGAGAGACAATGGCTTCTCAACCAGCACAAGAAGCAGATGTCTCCTTCCTTCTCTCCCTCCCTCCTTTCTTTCCTTCCTCCCTCACTCCCTCTTTCCCTCTCTCCTCCCTCTTTACTCTCTCCCTCTCCTTTCCCTTCATAAAACAATACTTCTTACACCCACCATGCATCTCAGATTTGATGAGCTATAGTACTAAATGTAAGACTGGACTTGAACCCTCAAACAAGGCCAGCTAGGCAAATTCCCATGACAGTTGTTATTGGTGATTGCTGTGTGTGTCAGGACTACTGTCATTTTATGAACATATCACTGTTGAGAAGCGTGACTCCCTTAGGGGACTGGATTCCTGCCTTGGCTCTATCTTTCAGGAGTGAGGACATCTGTGTTTTCTTGTCCTCACTTGCAAAATGGTCATAATAGTCCATATTTCTTCAATTCTTGCTGTATCTGAGATACTATCCTAAACACTTTACATGAGTAGTTCACTTAATTCTGAAAACAACCCTATGAGGTAAGTACTCTCAAATATTCCTATTTTCGCCACAAGTTAACTAGGACCCAACAAATTAGAAACTTGTTTTAGGTCATACCTATGAGTTACCTATGAGTTAATGTGTTTTGTAAATAATGAAGAGCTAGGGGTTTGGAGAGGCATTCATTATTAATTTTAGGAGTTAGACTTCTTGAATTTCAGGATGGGACTGTATCCACTCTTTCTGACTTGTCTCAAACCTTGAGCTAGATTTCTTCCCTTTCTATATCTTCCAGGAGAATCCCATAGTTACTGGCTTTTGCTTCCCTACTTGTTCACATTCACAGAGCATCCAAGGGACTCTTTCAAAGCCTACATAGAAGTAAATTCCCTTGTTTAAAACCTTCTAGTAGCTTCTCACTGCACTTGAATAACTCCACACCAAGGCCCATAAAACCCAGTGTGAGATGGCCTCTGTAGCATCTAAGACTCTCTCCCTCATTCTAACTGCCCCAAACTTATGAGCCTCCTGCAGCTTCTGGGGTATGCCAGGGGGGTTCACGATTCCTGCCCCTCATCCTTGCTGCCTTGTCCTCTCTCCTGCTGTCCCTTCTGCTCCTTGCATGACTGATCTCATTAGAGTCTCAGCTCACATGTCACCTCCTGACACTGTATCAGATATGGCTTCTCCCAGCTGAAGAGCCCATTGTCCTCCATCCTGTCACCTGGTTCTATCGCCTTCCCAGCCCAGCACCATAAGAAATTATCCTATTTATTTTGATGTTTGTTGTCCTTGTTCTCCCACAAATGTAAGCACCACAAGGCCAAAGAGTTTGTCTTGTCACTGTAGTCCCAGCAACTAAATCAATTACTGTCACATGTTGAAGCCTAAAACGTTCTTGTAGCCCAGATGAAAGAGTAAATCCTGGGAGGTAGGCCATAGTAACCTGGACTTCCACCAGGTGGCCTGGCTCTATCTGCCCCGAGTCTCAATTCAGTTCTAGGTCTAGAGGCAAGGTACATGGGCTTTTCCTGACTCCACATCCAGAGATTCACTATCTGGCAGGTTTATTATACTCTCTTAGCCTTGTTTTTCTGTAAAATGTGTAATAATACCTATTTTGTAACCTCCCATGAGAATTAGATGACTTATGAAAAACTCTTAGGATGGCACCTGGAACTTGTGTGGAGCCTTGAGAAACTAAAAAATACATTAAAATAATGCTGATAGCTAAAAAACACAGAGTGTTACTATGGACCAAGCTCAAGATTAAAAATTTCATACTTATTGTATAAAGTTACTCTGTGACGTTAGATAATCTGTCACCACATTCCACACATGATAAAACAGATCTAGAAGTACCCAAGTCAAGGCCACACACTACTAAATGAATGATATAGCATTCTAGTAACCATGATACTAAGATACTTTTAAGGGCTGTCACCTACATCCAGAGCCATTCATTCTTTCAACATTCATTTATTCACTAACATTCATTCATTCAATACACAATTGAGTGTGGACTGGGTGTTGAACACCAGCCTAGGCTCTGGCATATGACAATGACCACAACAAAGTCCCTTATCTTATGCTCTTCCTAATAAACAAGTTATAAAACTGTAGCTTCCGGTGGTGACAAATTTTGTAGACAACTAAAGCAGAGAAGAGGGCGTAATATATCACAAGGTAGACCAGATGTCACCCCGAGGAGGTGACATCTGAGCACAGACATAAAGAAGGAGAGTAAATGAGTTGTGTGGATGTCTCGGGGGAGCTCTCTAGGCAGAGAGGTAAAAAGAGCTGGGTTTGGCCTATTTCAGAATATCCCCGAGTATTATGTCTGGAGGCAGTAGAGGATCGGTGAGGTGGTAGCTGAAGGTAAACAGGTGAAGAGGAGTGGCCAAAACTCTTCTAGCTACCAGGAGGGCCAGGGTTTCCACCCTGGTGAGGTAGGCAGCCACCAGAAGATGCCAAGGGGGGAATGATGTGGCCTGGCTTACACTTTAACAAGACCACTCAATCTTGAGTGTCACAGGTGGGCGACAGGGTGGCCCACTTTGGGAGCTATTGCAAGGGGTTAGGCAAGAGCTGATAATTTGGACCAAATTGGTAGCAGTTGAGGTTGTGAGAAGTGGTGGGATCCTGTATTTGGAAGACAGAATTACTGGGATTTGCTGATGACTGGAAAGAGATGGAGAGAAATAGGGAAGCCAAAGAGGTCTCCTAAGGCTGTGGCTTGAACTCTTGCATTTGGACCTGATGATGCCTTTTGAGCTATGCAGAAAATGTTAAAATCACAGTAAAGTCTGACATGAAACATTTGCAAATAAGACTGCACCCTTCTAAGCAAGTTCATCATATTAATATATTCCTTCCCAAAATAACCCCCAGCCTGACAGCATCCCAGTGTGAATGGAAGCCTTATTTGCAAATAATTCACAAAGCTGACTCACTGGGGTTCAGAGATAAGAATTTTAATCACTGTGTTTTGATTTTTTTCAAGGATGAACACACCAACAAAAACAATGGAGATCAACACTGAGAGCAGAACTTCAGGGCCCCCTGAAATTCACCCAGGACCCCTGACTCAATGTTTCGAGCTTCTCCGATACTGTAGACTCTTTCTCGTGCAATCCAGAAGGCCATCTGCTCTCAGGCAGAAAGGAAAAGTGATGGGGTGACGAAGACCCTGGAGCCCATGCTCTTGGGCAGTGCTCAAAGAGACTGGGAGACTTAGCCTGGGCAAGGAAAGTCAGAGAATGCCCGAGACCCACCTTCTTCTATGCCATCCTATCCAGGACCAGAATCAAATGGTGCAAGGCACAGGGACTGCTATTTGAATTTGGAAAGCATTTTTATTAAGCCCCTAGTGAAATGGGGAACCTCTGGACTACTGGCTGCCTCTGCGAACCCTCCAGCTCTTCTTCAGCTGTACTAGGCCTAGAAGACAAAATCATCCCTTATTCCCCATATCTGTTACCCTCCTGCATCTATCCATCCTGCCTTCCCCAGCTTGAATTCCACCATCCTTCATTTCACTCTCTGCACCTGGTGGAACCCTACCTGGTTAGTTATATGTCTCCCTGCCACATGCCACACCTACAAAACTCAGCTTGACCAGAGAGCACAGCCTTGCTGGCTCCTTCCCCTGCCTCTCCTGCTTCCCTCATCTTGCGTTACTCCCTCAACAGAACACATGGACCCCAGCCCCTGCCCCAGCCTCCACTCCTGTAGAGTTGGCCTCCTGAGATTAATCTAGCCTCAAAGAAGAAACTGTAGAAACACAGTGCGTGTGCTCTGTTATGGACTGAATTGTGGTCCCCAAAGTTCATGTGCCAAAGTTCACTGCACCTAGAGAGTGTGTCTCCAAAGAGGTAATTACAATTAAATATTGGAGCCCTAATCCAATATGACTGGTGTCCCTTTTTGAGGAGGAAGAGATACCAGAATGTGCAGGCCTAGAGAAAGGTCATGTAAAGATACAGTGGAAAGCAGCTGTCTCCTGCCCAGAGATGACTCAGGAAAGACCACACCTGTGAACACCTTGATCTTGGACCTTTGGACTCCAGAACTATGAGCTGACAAACCCTGTTGCTGAATTCTCCTAGTCTGTGACATGGTGCTATGGCAGCATATGCCTGCCATGTACACTGCAGACCACTCAGGCAGGCATCCACAGAGCTGAAGTTACTTTCCACCACAAATAAAATAAAGACACATTTTAAAAGCTGGAAGGAGAAAATGACAAGAGCAGAAATAGTACTTCCAGGAACCTGTTATTCCTCTGGAGTCCTGAGTGGAATGCCTGTTGTTGGTGCTTGTTCAGATCCTCCTTCTTTTGAGTAGATCCCTCGGATTATCCCCAAGAAACCTCCTCATCTCCACTCCCACTGTGATGGCTAGCAGTGCTTTCATCTCCACCCCACTGTGGCCTTAGGAATAGGTGGGCGATCCAGCCCTTGCCAGCCATCAATCACTCTCAAAGCCCTTTGGACTCTCTTTCCTAAATGCTCCATCTAATGCACTCAAGGTTAGTTGCCAGAATTTCAGAATCTTGGCATTATTAACATTAGGGGCTGGGGAACTCCTTTATGTAGGGCTGTACAGTGTGTTGCAGTATCTCTGGCCTCGCCTAGGTGCCATAGGCACATCGTCCTAACAACCTGAAATGTCTCTTGACATTGTCACATACCCCCTGGTGGGGTGGCGTTGTCCCCTGGTTGACAATCCCCGGAGGCATGCAATTCACTCAGGTCACTGAGAGTCATGCCTGGGACTTTTTGTGTGACATTGGAAGAAGAGGTTTCACAATGCTGGACCATGTGGATCCTCCATGGACAGATAGCCTGGGGATGAACTGACATGGATAAGCCAGAGCTGAGACTTGGAGGAAAGAATATTTGATTCTCTATAGTATATGAGTCACTGGATTTTACCAAGTCATGTTTCAGTCATGTGAGCCCCTTTGGGGCTTAAGTCAACTTGATTTGGACTCCAATCACAGGTATTCAAGGAGCATTCTGAGTGGCAGGAGTTGTTGAATAAATTTTATATCATTCAGTTGTCATAACTGCCCCCTCAGTGGGGAGCAGCTTATCTGTACTTTACAGATGTAAAAATTAAGAAGCACGTCAGTTGCCTCTTCTTGAATCTCTTTACCCACCCATAGCATGTCCCAGGGTCACAATGACTGCATAAGGAATTGCTCAGGGCTGCTTTCCCTGCCCAGTGTCAGTCTCTCTTGTTCATGAAGGCCAAATGCCAAACCAGTGTCTCTCCACCCCCATCCTGATAGACAAACACTTGTGTGCATAGATGACTGTGGTTGTACGGCTTGTTCAAGAGTCTAACCCAGAATTTGACTTCAATCCCATGAGAGTTTTCTTATGTGTGCGTGTGCTTTTTTTAAATATATTCCCTTTGCTTTGCTCCAGAGGGAAAAACTAGATCCAATGATGTGTGTAACGAAGACAATTTTAGCACCATTTAAAGAACATATTCACAATCTGCTCTGTCAAATGACGAATGACCCATGTTGGGAAGAGCAGTAGTGACGATGACGAAATGCTAACAGGAAGTTGGGTGCTGACTCCAGTCGATTGCTGAGAAGAGTACTTTATATCCTCATCTCATTTGACCTTGAAAGCGATCCGTTCATGGGCTGTTACTTTGTCCCTATGTCACTGTGAACCAGGTGAGGCTCAGACAGTTCCAGTAACTCGTGCACAAGTCCACAAGCTGTGAGCTTCTGAGCCCAGACTTGAAGCTGAGTCTGTAGCCAGTGTCTGTAAGCACAGCCATTGTCCTGTCTCATGAGGGAAAGGGGGTTTGTCACTACAGCCATGAGAGCAGAGGACAGAGGACCCCAAGTGAGGGCCTGGCATTCCACCAGAATTCTCTATGACCCAAATTCTCCTGACCAGAGGCTCCAGGAGGCAAGGAACTTGCATCTTTGAGGTCCACACAATGAAATATGCCTCATCTGCAGAGATATCCCTGTGTTAACTTCTGTCCCAACTCACAGAGGACTTCAACATGGCCTACACAGGAACTGCCCCATGGCTGGAGTTGTCAGGAACTGGGCAACTTAAAGCCCCCAGTCCATGGAACTTCTCTCTTCCCACCTGTATGAGCATCTTTTGATGGACCACCTGTGCTGCTGCTGGCACTCCCCAGCCTCTCACCATGAGCCGGGGCTCTCTTCTTCCCTGAAAATTCCCCCAAAGGCAAGGAATAAACAAGGAGTTTGAAATAGCACTGGCCTGTGGTGGAACAGACCTGGATCTGAATTTCAGTCCAACCCTACTCTTTTTGCTACTCTGTTGAGAGTTATAAAGCCACTTTCAATGACTGCATTTTACATGAGAAAAACACTGGCTGAGAGACAAAGTGGTCACGCTCTGCACCACACAGATGATACATGGGGGAGTCTGGATTTCCTGGGCCACAGCCCTTTGTCCATACGCTAGTTTTCTTTTCCCCATCTGCTTGCGTTCAGAACATCCTTAAGGGGCAACTGCAGGGCAGAAGTGCCACAGCCAAGTATAAGGCAAGTAGATGTCATAGTCCACAAAGCCTAGGCTAGGGTGTGATTCTGTGTAACTGGGATAGGACAGAAGGACTGTGGGGACAAGGTGTGGCTTGGGCCAGAGGCTGAGTGACAGCATATCAGGGATCCTGCGAAGTGGTGCCAACCAGCCACTTACCAGTCGTCATGGATACCACAGCACCATTGCCAAGAGGACCCTAATAAAGATCTGCTTGGCACAGTGGGAAAATCATGGTGTTGAGATCCTCACATCTTGGTTCCAGCGTGAGCTCAGCCACACATGAACTAGCTAAGCTTGCGCAGACACCTTGACTGCTCTGACCTTCAATTCCCATCTATAGACCCCAAGGAGCAGAGGAAATTAAACAAAAGAAGGTACGTGAGGTGCCAGGAACACCGGAGGACCTCAGAAATGGTATCGCTGACTCCCTTAGGCAGTAGCTGTACTCCCCCAGGACTGAGTTTATTAATTCTTATTCTGGAAGTGGTCTCGGGGGCAAGGAAAATGTTAGCACCCCCACACCTCACTGGGCACCACATACCTCCATGAGTACCATGTGGTATTCTCAAGGTGGCTTCCCGTCCCAGCCTTTGGAAAACGTTCCCTGACTATCATCATTCTAATTTGTTCCTTGTTGGGATATAAGGCACAGTGGGAAAAAATGGGTAGGATCCGTCTTAGTAGTGTTTCTGTAGCCCCTAGGCCTGGAGCTACGAGATTTTCTGGGGTCAGATGAATGTCCTCTCCAGTTCAGGTAAATTCCTACAGGGATCTGTTGAGTACTTATTAGAGATGGATGTCAAGGTGACAGTGAGGATGAAGGTGAAGAGGAACAGTTTTATGAGTTTATGAGTCACTACCAATGTCATCCTCTCTCCATTCGTTTTCTCCAGCTTGCATAACTTTCCCTGCAGGTAGAAACTGTCTCCATTTTACAGATGAGGAAACTGGGGTTAAGATAAATTAAATGACTTGGTCAAGAGCCTCCAGTTAATAGTGAAAGACTCATAACTCAAGTTCAGACATCAAATTTTCAGACTCTCTTCTCCATGCTTACCTCAGTAGCTCCCAGGAGGCTGTTGTTATAAGAATGAATAACAGTGTCTACAGAAGACATTGTTTTTGGGGGGGAATTTACTAATAAACTAATCTGCTCTGAGAGAGGGCTTCATGTCAAAAAATAAGTGAGGAGCAGGAGCAAGACTCACATGGTAAAGTGGATCTGATTGGAGGGGGCATGGGTGAGAAAATTCAACATGGACTTTTTGATACTCACTGCAGCCTTATTTCTAAGGCAAACTATTTGGAATAGCCTAAACCTCTATCAATCAGCGTGTGGTTAAATAAATGATGATCCAGCCATATAATGGAAGATAATCTATGTAGTTGATTTTTTTTGTGGTACTGGGATTTAAACTCAGGGCCTACACCTTCAGCCACTCTACCAGCCCTTTTTTGTGATTTTTTTTTTTTCGAGATAGGGTCTCAAGAACTATTTGCACAGGCTGGCTTTAAACTGTGATCCTCCTGATCTCTGCCTCCTGTTAGCTAGGATTACAGGTGTGAGCCACCAGCACCCAGCTATGTAGCTGGTCTTAAAAAGCAGATTTATCTGTGCTCATGGGGAACAATCTCAAAGGCTCTGTGCTGAGCGTTCTCCATTTGCTCCCTCACCCAGATCCCCTCTCCTCCCTTGCTGCTCTGCTCTGTACCCTGGGACCTGGCTCTCCTGGATGGTACTAATCAGGCTCCCCTAGTTTTATGTCTTCTACTTCCATTTGGCCAGACAGGGGGAGGGGGGGAACCTGCAAGAGAATGGGAGTATGAGAGGAGAGATACACAGGGTATTTTTTCCTGGTGGCCCTCACTTGGGTTCTATAGTTCTGACACAGCCAAGACCCTTCACAACTCCAGTTCCATTTCCTCCTGGGCTCTGCTACCCTAGCTCCCACCCTTTCCCTTAGGACTTTAAAATCTGTTGTGAGGGTCAAACTGTCTGAGTGGAATTCTGTTGCCTGCTGCGACCCTGACTATGATGCAGATATATTATGATCCTTAGGAAGGGAGCCCCCACACAGAGGCTCCCCCTACTGACCTCCCAAGAACATTTGCAACCATCTTCACCATAATTGTCCCCACCAGTCCACCGATGGCGAATATGGACACAGTCACAGACCAGAGCAGAGTCAGCGTATCCGGATCTATTGGATGTCCATGCCGTTTTTCCCACGTGTCATTGTAAAAGGCCTTGATATACTGGAAACAAACAACAGATCATGTTATTTCCTTCTGTTCCATCCTTGCTTGAAGCAAGCCAGTACACAAAACAGAATAGTTTTCCAGAACACTTTGTTCAAGTTCTGCACTTTGGTAAATTGTTTGAACTTTATCTCATTGGACTCTCAAATTTTGGGAATGTTTCCTATTTTTACCTCATTTTAAAGATAGGGAAACTGAGGCTCAGAGAGACACAGTGATTTGCTCAGTGTTAAACCTTGGAGTCAAACTCAGGTCTGACCGTAAGACTGTGATAACTATTGTACCTGGGCCTCGCTGACTTTAATGCACAATAGGACCACCTTAGAAGTGTGTCACAAATGCACGTACCTAACAGAAGAAGGACTCTCGAATAGGCAAAGATACAAGTCACAAAAACGACAGTCATAAAAAAAAAATGCTCATTTGGATTTTATCAAAAATTCTTCAAAAGACAGCATCAAAAATGAAGAAAAGGCATAGACTGCGTTATATTTGCAAGACAAAGAAAATGTATCGGAATATAAAAAGGACTCTAAGATGTCGATAAGAGGACTAATAATACAATTTCAAATGAGCAAGAGACTTGAACAGACCCTAAACAGAATACCAATGACCATAAGGCAGTGACAGGACACTCAGCATCACTAGCCAATAGGAAAATGCAAATTAAAACCACAATGTAATGCATCTCCAAACCCACTCCATCCTCCTCACTACCACTGGGTTTGGGGTGGGTTTGGTGATTCTGATGTGCACCAAAGACTGAGATCATGGCACTAAGCTCCCCCAGAGGGTTCAGTCCCCAAGATACTTATAGTTGCCTATTGCTACCCAACATGGGTCCACAAACCCACAGGGCCAGCAGATGACATTGCAGGAAAAGCTTAGGTTCAGATCCCACAGACCTGGGCCCAAATCCTCAGCACAGTGATTTGCCAGAGATGTAGGGCAGGTGAACATGCTCTCCCAGAATACGCTGCAGCTAGGGAGAGAACACATGACCAAATCTCAGCCAGTCAGATGCCTGGACTTTGAATGGGGTGTGATGGGGCTCACAGAGCTCAAGAGGACCCTCTGGCAGCACAGAGGCTTCATCAAGATTGGGTTTGGGGGTGCAGCCTTGGGGCAGCAGCAGGGTCCTATGAAGCAGTGTGGTCACCAGCAGTGGTGACGGCAGGGGACCCCACACACAGCTCTGGGCATGGCTTGGAGTGTGATCTCTGGCTGCAGAGCTCTGACCTGCTTCTTCAGCCCTCCCACCCAGGCTGTGAGCAACTCACTATTTTCTCCAACTTCTTTTTTAGCATCAGTTGGATAAAATTTTTTTATGTTCCTTACACTTACGGAAACTCTACCGAAACACATAAATTACCTCATCTCAACCTCAGACAACCCTAGAAGTAGAGGCTGTAATTGACAAACAAAGGAACAGAGAGTGACATAACTTCCCCGTGGTCATGTGGCCCATGTGTGGTGGAGGAGCTTTTTATGCTAACTTCAGGGTTCTGATGCAATAGCTTCATTTAGACTGCAATGAACCGTGCAAGGGTAAAAGCTAAGCAGCTAAGTTCAGAGGTGCATGCACTGATTTAAGAGCAAATATTAATCTGCCGTCGTACGGACTAGACACACTGTCAGACTCTAACTAGTACAACAGCAGTGATCCAAAGGAGCACAGTCAACCAGGAGAGGCACTGATAATTGCTAAGGTAAGGAGACAGAGCGGCCACAGGAAGGCAGTAGGATAACAGGGGCCACAGCAGCTATGCACAGGGTAAGGGCATTGTGGAGAAGCTGGTATACGTGATGCGTGTCCAGAAATTCTCAGGGACACATTCTGTCTACACTGTCACCAGATAGACAGGACTTTGGGTGTGGCTTGATTGCAGTCCTGTGCTGATTCAAATGACTGCAGTTCTCTTGCAAAAGACTCCTGGTGCCATGCTTGTAGTCAGTGTCTGGCGCTAGTGGAAGGAGAGGACAAGGTGCTAATTCGGAAGAAGTAGGCTCTGCTCTCTTGTGTTGATCTGCACTCAGGAGCCCAATGGGAGAAAATGAGGGCCCAGGGTTGCTTCAGAAATCTGAAGAGATTTCTTATTTTGTCTTGGGAAGCCCCGGAGCAGCAGCCTCTACACAAAGCTGGAGAAGGCCAGAAGACTGGTAGTGTAGCCTGTACCTCCTGCAGAAACACATTTCTCAAAAGCTCCTTTGGTGCTTAAATGTTTGTCTTCCAGCTGTGAAGGTAGCCATGGCCCAGCTGACAGGCCTTTGTGACTGCAGGAGCGAGGTGATGAAGGCTGTCCTGCTAATTTATTGCTCAAACATTCACTGAATTTGAAATGGATGAACCTCATAGAGGTGAACACCTGGTTTGTGTCCATATTACAGAACAGCACCTGGACACGTTAGTGTTTTAAACTGAGTTTTGGCTGTGTGCCAGTAACATCCACATAAAAATATTATAATACAAATAGGTATTGCTTTTGTCATATTTATAATCATGTGCTATTCTAAGAATGACACCTGTAAACTCATTTCTTCCCCTCCACGACTCCGTGAGAAGGCACCATTTTTTTGGTTCTCTTCTGGGCACATGAAAAGTCAGAGATACAGAGCCATAAGGGGCTCCCAAGCTCCCACCATTGGTGTAGCATAGTCAGGATTCAAACCCAGGCAGTGGACCTCAGATCACAAATCTTAACCACTCCTATTCCAACTCTTAATGTGGAAAATGCAAAGATGGCTGTATTAACACCTCTTTCATGTTGAAACACTCCGTATTGTAGAGCATAGGAGACCTGAAATGAAGGCTGGTTGACTACTAAGGATGGATCAGACATTTGTGTACCTCATCCTGTTTAACCCTGTCACCATCCTGAGAAATTTCACAAGTAGCAGAGACCTCCAGATAAGCAACACATCCCATCGCCACATGGAGTCCGACAGATCAGAGCTTGCTAGTGTCATCAGGTCTGGCTTGCCTCCTCTTCCTGCCTACACTGGCAACCAGCCATGTCACCCAGTCCCTGCATCTGGACGGGACCATAGGACTGCTTCTCACCCCAGCAGTGAAGGCAAAAGTGACAGAAGTGATGTATGTTACCTTCACCAAGGCATTCGGAGTTCGCATGCCTTCTTTAATTAGCATATATTAATTATACAAAGTGATGGATTTCATTATGACATTTTTGTACATGTATATGACGTACTTCAATCATATTCATCCCCAATCACCCTCTCTTGTATCCCTTCCTCCTTCCACTGGTCCCTTCTCCCCCAAATAATCCCCCTTCTATATTCATGTCTTAAGAAAATCTGAGATTCCCATATGAGAGAAAACATGTGGCATTTGTCTTTCCGAGCATGACTATTTCACTTAACATGATCTCTAGTTCCATCCATTTCCCTTCAGATTACATCATTTCATTCTTCTTTATGGTTGAATAACACTCCATTGTGTATATATACCATGTTTTCTCCATCCATTCATCTGTGGACGGACACCTAGCCTGATTCCACAACTTGGTACTGTGAATAGTGCTGTGATGAACACAGGTGTGCAGGTTTCTCTCTTGTCCTCTTGCCTTCTTCATGCTCACCTCCTTTCCTTTCAGCTGGCCATTTCCTAAGGAACCAGGTGGGACCACTCTACTGACAGAGCCTGGGACCCCGAATGGCTTTGTGGAGCACAGCTTCTGTTCACCTGCTTGGATGGTGACATGAATTAGGAAAGAATGTTCACTGCATTAAGGCATCACAACTCAGGGCTTATTAGTTACAGCAGCTAGTTTATCCAAATGCAATCAAGCTGATTCTAAAGGCCACACCACGACTTTCGCACTACAACATAACCTGCAAGAAAGGAAAGATTTGGTCCAAGTTGGTGATGTGGCCCTTTACTGAGAGCTTCCCTTTTATGGGGAACTGGTCAGATTTCATTTGAAGAAAGCATTCTGCAGTCAAGATAGTTTTTAAGCCACTGGTCCACTTTGGACCACCTCTTTCCTGGATTCTACACATCTAAGGCTCATTCTTGTCTCTTTCTCTGGCTCTACATTGCATCTGCTCTTTACCACTAGGGCACCAGGGGTCCATCTTGTCTTCTGGACATAAGCTCTGGTCCCCCTGCCTTCAAGGAGCTCAGGATCTAATGGAGACAATAGCTGAGTAAGTATGCCATGATAATGAGCAAGAAGTGCTGTGACAGCAGGAACCAAGCAAGGAATCCAGAGACTTGGTTGATCAAGTGAGCTAGAAAGGCAGGTGGGCTGGGCTCAGGTGGACACCTGCAGACAGAAGGAAAAGATGCTCAAGGTGCAGAAGCTGGAGACCATGGGTGGGCATTGGGGAGTTATAAGTGGCCCAGTGGTCTTGAAGAGTGGCCCTACATCAGGAGAAAGGTTGGAGAAAGAGGCAGGGGCTGTCTACACTTGGCTTTCCCTGCAGTCTGTGGAGACTGCATGTAATCTTATGGGCCCTGGAGAGCAACTGAGGGTCTGAACATGGATCAGCAGACCAGGTGGTTTGGAACGTTCATCACAGATGTAGCATGAACGCTGCTCCAGTGTCAAGAGTAGATAAAGCCAGGCCAGAGAGGAGGCTCCTGCATTTGGTACAAGATCATGAGTTGATTGAATTTTTTTATAAATTCATCAAGGAATATTTATATTATGACAAGTACTAACCAAAGTCTAAACTGCAAAGGAATGACTAAGAGGCCAGTTGGCTAAAGAAAAGGAGCTGACCCCTGGTATACTCTCCATTTTTATCATTTTAGACCTAGATCCCACACACAAGCAAAAATGTGATATTTGGCTTTTTGAGCTCGGCTTATTTCACTCAGTACAATGATCTCTAGTTGCATCCATTTTCCTGCAAATGGTAGAATCTCATTCTTCTTTACGGTTGAGTAATACTCCATTGTGTATATTTACCACATTTTCTTTATCCTTTCGTTGGTTCTTGGGCACTTAGGCCGATAGCGTCACTTGGCCACT